AATTAATAGAAATTAATTGATTTTGTAAGTTTAAATTGTTTTGTTTAACAAATATAAATGTGAATTATATTATACGCGTTTATTAAAAATTTTTTTTGGCAATGATATTCAAGCCAATAAGATTCGATTTTTGTGTGATATTTCGAAGGGAGATCATCACAAAAATTAGCCAATGAAATCAAATGTCCACTATGCTGAATAAATAGAGACGGGTAATTATAATAGTCCAATTTTGCATCCTGTTTACTAAAAATTATATTTATGGCAAACATCTTTCACCTGTCCTTTTCATGGTTTGTCCGCGAATAATAAAAAAGAGCAATGGGACAGGTGGTAATGGTACAGTAACCCATACTTTTTTCACCTGTCCTTTTCAAGATTTGCCCATGAATAATAGGAAAGGACAGGGACTGGTTTCTGCGCCATCACCACCCACATCTGTTCATGTTAGTTACCCGCCCTTCTTTACATTATTTTGCAGAATATCCGTACCATCACCCGTCCTTTTTTAGTATTAATGGGCTAAACTTGAAAAGGATGGGGACGGACAGGTGTGGCATGAACCAGTCCTACGTCCTTTTCTAGCATCCCTTGAGAAATAGTAAAGAAAAACCAAATGAATTAGAAGATTATTCAAAAAAATGTTCCATAGAGTACTGCAAAAAAAATTCGATACCTAAGTTTTCCCTGACAGAAAGTTCATTGCTTTTGTTCACTAATATGCCAAGTTAGTCCTGCACATAGCCTCTCCCCAAGATGGTTTGATTATGATGCTTATTTGAAGATGTCATATATACAAGTATTTAAAATTCAAAAAAAAAAAATAATAGTTCTTTACCTATCACCATATATTTTTGTATCTCGGTAAGTGCTTGATCGAATTGAGTAACCTTAGATTCTAAAAGAAAGCCCGAATTCTATTGCACATAATATTCAAAACTTATTTATAGTTAATATGTAGTAATGTTAATTAATATTCATTTTAAATCACAATTCGTTGACGCATTTTAAGAATACCTCTTTACATTTCTCTTTTCCTTTTTTGACAATTTGTATATTATTGTTGCTTACCCATCGTTATTATTTATGTAGGAATAAAATGTATAAGTATTATAAATATTCATAACAATATTAT